ATTTTTTTGCCACGTAAAAGTTGATAGGTTTATTTAGAAACACATCTCCTAGGTATACGATACTGTGGAACTTAAATGACAATTTCCACTTCTTACTCGTTCTCAATATAATAATAATAATAATAATAAATGGCCTTTATTCGTCACACGATTACAAAATAATTGATTTAAAAGGAACAGTGACGAAAAGGTGGAGTGTCAGCTTATGCTGTTTTTCAACCCGACCTGGAAAACATTGACACAAACTATAGAGACAGAGAGAAAAAAAAACTTAGAATATAACACTTATCAGAGAAAGGAAACAATCAATTACCTGTGGATATGCATAAAGTAAAATTTTAGCCATCCGACTGCTTTAAACTCATCTTTAACCTTTTTTTAAAATTGCTTAGGCTATATTCTTTATACTCACTTGATAAGCAGTTATAACGTATAGTTTGGGTGCCCAGTACGAGAAACTGCGTGTGAACAATGCTGTCGAATGCCGCGGGATAAGTAAGATGAGTTTATTCCTAGAGGATCTTTGATCGTACTGGCAGAGGAGGCTTAGTTTTGTATAAAGATAATATGGCGCTTTAAGGATAAGGGTCTTATGTACCAAAGATAGGCAATGCAGTTTCCTCAATTCGTTCATCTTAAACCATCCATGGGTTATTAACCTGCGACGAAAAATGGATCTTCAAACAAGGTTTTGTTGTTTGTTTGGTGGACAGCAACTGGAATTGTCCATTATGAGTTTTCGGAAAGGGGTCACACCGTCACTGCTAGCTTGTATTGTGAGCAGCTTCAAGGAGTACAAGCAGCACTCATCCAGAAACAGCCTTCTTTGATCAATCGGAAGAAAGTGATATTCTTCGTTATTCATTTCGCCCAGTGATTATCACCTTTTTTTGTCTCTTGACAACTGTATGACGCACCGACAGTTCACAACTCGAGATGGTGGAATAAATGCAGTCCGCAGGAGGGAGTTCTACAATACCGGCATACAAAAATTGGTTCCACGTTGGCAAAAGGTCGTTGAATGTGATGGTAATTAGTTCGACGAATAAATAGTGTCATATTGTTTCTCAATAAGAATTCATACTAAAGCCGCACGAATTTATTTGGTTACCTGATATTATTATTATTACACTGGACAACAAATTTTAGTTTTTTATTTGTATCTTGTGGAAAAGTGCACTTCTTTCTTAATTTTGGGGCGCTGAATCCAAAAATGACAATGAAATAAAAAAATTAGTTGCGGTTTAGAAAAAAAAACTTTTTATTTTTAAGGATATATTAAAAAAGTAACAAGAATCATATACTTATAAGAATCACTATATGCGCTGTCTTTTTGCTGTTCTTTTATGGATCGTTTCTGGAGCATCTCTACCAAGAGTCCAACAGTAGTCTGCAAGCATGGAAGGATTCCACTTTCCCTGGTACCTTTTTTCCATTGTTGAAATATCCTGATGAAAACGTTCGCCGTGCTCATCACTTACGGCTCCGCAATTGTCAGGAAAAAAGTCCAGGTGTGAGTGTAGGAAATGTATCTTGAGAGACATATTATCTTTTGATACAATGACAGCATATTTTTGACAAAGGTTTTATAGTTGTCAGCTTTTCTATTTCCCAAGAAATTAGTGACCACTAGACGGAAATCATTCCAAGCAGTTTTTTCAATACCTGTTAAAGTGTTTTCAAACTGTGTATCTTTCAAAATATTTCGAATCTGTGGCCCAACAAAAATACTTCCTTTAGCCTTTGCCTCACTTAGTCTTGGGAATTTCTGACGCAGGTATTGAAAAGCTGACCCATCTCTATCTAATGCCTTGACAAAGTTTTTCATTAGGCCCAACTTGATATGCAGTGGTGGTAATAAAGTTTTTTTCGAATCTACTGTACATTTTTTTAACCTGGCTCTAGGAATTGACGAACAGGCCAGTTTTGTCTGGTGTAATGAAGTGCCTTTGCCCGACTGTCCCAATCACACAAAAAACAGCAAAACTTTGTGTAGCCTAGCTGCAGCCCAAGTAAAAGTGCAACAACTTTCAAATCGCCACAAATATGCCATTGGTGCTCATCGTATTTTATGCATGTCAATAGGTACATCATATTGTCATATGATTCTTTCATGTGAACTGCATACCCTACAGAAAGAGATGGTAAAATATTTCCAATATGCAATAACACTGCCTTTAAACTCAATGTTGAACTGTCTATAAACAATCTCCATTCTTCTGGGTTGTAGTTTATATTTAAAGCCGCCAGTAAGCCGTTAATGTTACTGCAGAAAACCAAGTTATCCTCCATATTGAAAAATGGTTCTAAGTCTTTGTGGCGTTTACGAAAAACACATACCGAAACATCGGCTTCTAACACGTTCCACTGCTGCAGTCTTGATCCAAGTAACTCTGCCTTACATTTTGGAAGTTCTAAATCTCTTACAAGATCATTTAATTCTGACTGTGTTATTTTGTGCGGTTGGTGGCATGACGTGCTCGGTATAAAATCAGGATCTCTTGACGTGGATGGCATATCTTCTTCCTGACGAATCACTCGATCGCCATGATCTGATTCGTTTTCTGATTCGCAAGTGTAGGATTCTGGGGGTTTTGGAATAGGATTTTCGTCACTGTGAGCCACAGGTCTCATCGCAGATGGTATGTTTGGGTAGTTAATAACCGATTTTTTTCTTGGACATACCTGTGGCTTGTCGTCCAACACAAGGTACCATGTAAAAGTAACAATCATTAATATGATTTGTAGGCTCTCTCCAAACCATTGGGACAGCAAAGCGCATAGACCGTTTTTTGCCATTTAACCAGCTCCTCAGACTTGAAGCACATGTATTACAGCAGATGTGGGGTGCCCACTGTTTGTCTTGATCACCTAGTTTACAACCGAAATAAAGCTGATATGCCTTTGTTATTAGTGGAGTAATAGACCGTCTCTGAGACGCAAAAGTCACATCACCACACGTAACAAAACTGCTCTGGATTGTTTACACACTTTCGAGACATCTTGCATGAACGCTGTCAGCCAACTGAGGAAAAAATGGCTAATATAAAAGAATATAATGTACACGTATGTATAACGTAACACAATCACGCCGATTACATCATCTTTCCTTGCCGAATATAAAAATGTAGCACGTGCATTCTTGTGAATTACAGTATATTAACACTGTCACAGCAGGAACACATATAATTACCGTATCTCTAAAACTTGAACTAATATTGAAAAAATAAGTTTCATTCCGGTTATAGCTCATTAAAATAGTAATATTTTGTTGATTTTATTTAGGATATTTTTTGGCTGTTGATCAGTGTTATTATTATTTCGAAAGGGACGCAATACACAAAGCAACAGACAGATTGAGAAAATAAACTAATTTTCTAGTCGTATATGTCCCTCTACGTTGCGTCGGGCTACTACAGTATTCGATAGTATAGCTTAGTTATACGAGCCTCTTCCCACTTCAGTTGGCCCAACTATTGAAATCTTAGTTTTTTCTTATCAAACACAAATAATAAAAATGTAGCAGAGGTTTAAAATATTAACAAATGAATATTTTGATAATATATAGTAGAAAACACAAACCTTAGCACTCCCTAATCAAATTTGCAGTATAAAAATAACATGTTGCAACTACAGCATATCAACCTATTTTCATTTCAATGCAAAATAAGTCTATAACGCATAGGTGGCTGTGAAAAATAAAAGCCATGACAATTGTTTTTATTAATCACAGCTGTCAGAATACGTTTAAAATAGTTTTGGCTAGTTAAGGATTTCAAAATGGATAGAGGAAAGGTTATTAGTGAGAAAATTCGGTTACTGATAATTAAATTTTTTAATTCTGGGAAATCAAACTCAGAAATTGCAACTTTGTTAGACTTATCGCGGTACAGTGGGAGAAATATTGTTAGAAGGTATAACGTAACTGGTTCAGTTAATATTAAGCCACGATATGTGAAAAAAGTGAATCACAAATAACGACCGAAGAGCATTAAGAAGAATAATCGCCTGTTCGACTGTGCCAGTGTCATTAAAGCTATGAAGACGTCGTCCGCACTGCGACTGAAGCGGATAGGCGCCGGAAATGATCCGCAGTGACAGAGAGTATAAAAGGATGAGGTGTGGTCTCGTCCATAAGGGAAGGAAATGTACCGAGAAGCCTTCCAAATTAGAACTGTAGGTGGCGAGAAGATTGCTTGCATATGCTCCGACTCACATACGCCAGAAAGCGTGAAAATGAAAATTTAACAATGCGATGAATGCTCGGTGCTTTGGTTTGTTACTCTTGGTAATGACGGTACTAGATTAGAACACCACGTTCGCAGTCACAATGTCGTATCAATGTTGGCAAAAAATGGTCGAATTTGGGATTTTTATATTTAAAGGGCCGGTGAAATATATACTAAACCAAAAAATTAAGGAGTCTAGAAAACATACAAATTTTTCGTTGATTTTTGAGAGGCTGTATTAATGTGAAAAATGGTCGTATCTAGACTTTAAAACAAGCATTTTGAAGCTTTAAGATTCTAGTTTTCAGGTTTATAGCCGACTGTTTCCATCGTCTCAATCTCTACCAATCACTAACGCGCAATTTTGAATCACAAATAGTTTCTAGATGGAAAAATTGTATGACAGCACCTGTCAGCAGTTTTTTCGCGGCAAAACTTGACAGCTGTTGTCACCAAAAGTTACAATACCTTCGAGAGCAAGTTATTATTGTCTCCTAGGTCACCAAAAACGATTTTTCTGATGTTATTGCCAATCATGTCATTTTAAAGTAACATATTTGCAAAAAGTGTGTATTTTATTAAATTTGTCAAAGAGATGAGACAGTTATAAATATTTAGCAGGGGATCATGACCCCCATGCCCCCCCTGGATCCGCGCTTGTACCTGATGGTGCACCTAAGTTTGTCAATTAATGCTTTTATTCTAGTCGGCAATCCATTACCTTAAAGTGGATAGTAAATCAAATTCGTCATGGGTAATAATGATTCTACTTACTTGTATGACCCTCATCGGCAATCCCGTTTCTTTCGCGAGCTGCTCCCTGATATGTCTCGTAGGTTTCGGCGTTTGACTGAACGCCGTCTTCAGAATCTCCAGTTGTTTCGCTTTGATCGTCGTCCTGGGCCCTCGACGTTTCGACCCCGCACTGCTGTCATCCGGACTTTTGTTTTCCGTCTGGGAGTCCCGCGTTTCCGGGTCGCCGTCCAGCGAGTTTTGGTCCTCGGAATCGTCCTGACCCGTTTTCGAGTCCTGGAAATTATGTGGCTTGTAACGCATACTTACATTACATGTTACTCAAGGTCATTGTACCTTTTTTAAAAAAATCAAAAAATATTGTTTTTTTCGATTGAATCGTGATTTTTATCATTTTGTACTTATTTGTTCCTCAAATATGGCCAAAAATCCCCTTTTGTTTGTTTATGTTACTAATTCTGTAACAACAACAAACACTAAATAACAATATAATTAGTAATAAGAAATTATAAAAATAATAATTTCTATAAGAAACTTTTCCCCATATTCCTTGTGTGGTCCAGTGGACCACCAGTTAAGTGGAATTTTTTTTCTCGCAAAAAGACATACCTAGTTGCTTAATCCAATGAGCATATTAAAAATGGCAGAAAAGTCAGAAATGTTCGTTCAGATCCCGATCAAAACGCCACTGGCCAGTTAGGGCTAAATAAGCTCCTTAATTTTATAAATACCACCGTCAAATTACAACAAAATTAGGCAAAAGATATTTAAGATATTCACGAAATACTTTTTTCTATATCTTGAGAACGACCTTTTTGTCTGTTAAATTTATAATACATAGTTAATGGTTAATCATTGGATTACAGTAATTCTATAATCATTGATCTTATCTTAAGCTTCTGATAAATAGTCAGGTGCAAACGGTGTGAGAATTACCGTCGCAGTCCAGTTTGCCAGTAATTAATCATAATTAACTGATTACTTTTTCCGTTTGTACTTGAACATCAAGCATTGTGGAAGCATGCAACGTTCGCAATGAACGATTAGCTTCTAGTGCGATGCTGAACAGTCCTTAATCAGAACATGAAATCTTGCGTTCACTGTGAAACGAACCAGTTAACGATGATTCTCTCGGGAATAATTTATCCCATACTTGGATATCATTCTTTTTAGCCTTGTTTACACTATTTCTTTAACGTGTCTAGATATATCGCATGGCTAATGACCGTAGGTGAAGAACCTTGTGCACTTAAGCTACGGCGATATGAATGAAGAACATTATACCCACATACATACACAATAAATTACGCAGAACATAATGAAGAAATATAACACTTGAAAACATTGATCCAGAATAAGTAGTTATACTGGGAACAGGATAACGTTAATACTGTTGAAATTTGGGTGAAATGTCTAAGAAATCTAAGTAATTTTAACAGCCGATAGAGACAGAAGCTTTTTGCCACAAATGTCAATTAATTTGTGCTACGATTATTACCGAATTTAGATACATATGATGGACATTTCATATTGATCACAGTTTGAAAAATGTACACCCTCAACTCCGTTTGTTTGTGGTATTGTCAGATGCGTAACTATCTCTAAATCCACAACAAAACTAGGGCTCAATTTCGAGGTCTTGCCTCATTTTTATCCGTCCGTCGTCACAATATACAGGGTGGCGCATCAAAAACGAAACTGAAGCTCATATATTTTACATCATTATAAAGGGAATTGACAGACCTTTAAAATAAGGTATCACTCCACCCCCCCCATTCCATTTAAGATTTTAGGGTTGGTGTCACCCCCGCCCAGGGGGCTGCACGTGTTTAACGGGATTTTTTGCGAAACTTGTGTCCCTCTCGAAACAAAATCGACGGGTCTGAGCGTTTTTCCAAAAAAAAAAAACCCGTATATAATATGAATTCTCGTAGTTATCTCAAGGTGAATGATATTTCATTTTTACGTTTATTTATCTAGTATGCGGTATCATACCTGTCCTATCGAACTGCTGATATCTGAATGCGGGAGGGAGTTGTTGTTGGTTTCTCCAGGTGCAGGGGGGAGGGAGCCATGGAGGGGGTGGTGTTTTAATACTGACGATGCTGTGCTATTGTCATCATCCTCTTCGTCTTCTGATGCCGAACCCATCAGCGAATCTGCAACAAAGGAAATTATAAATATTGTATTTAAAGAAAATCAGTAAAATAGGCATCCACAATATAAACATAGCACTGATATTTATACTAAGTGACATATAAATGTTTTTATTTTAATAAAAGTTGGTGAATGTATTTATCTTACTGTAAATAACAAGTGAAAAAATTTTCAGCCTTATCAGTTGGACATTCCGGTTTTTATACTGCTTTTTTTTAATTTACTAACGCTCTAAAAATGAATATTTCAGCCGCAGTAAAGAATCAACGTTGGAGGATTTTGGTTCTTGACATCCTTTACGATCGGTTACGATGCCTAGAGTACGGAGACCTGTACGATTTCGTCAACTTAGTGAGTTTGATAGGGGCCGTATAGTGGAACTTCGGGAAGCTGGACTTTCTTTTCGGGCAATTGCAGTTAGAGTGCAAAGAAGTGTAGACACTGTGGTTAGGTGTTGTCAGGCATGGCTTCGAGAAGGCCGTACGCAAAGAGCAAGGGGCACTGGATGCCGCCGTAGAACAACAGACCGTGAAGATCGCCGCCTAAGATTATTGGCCTTAAGGGACCGTTTCTCCACTACCAGGTCCATTGCAAATGAATGGTTTGCAGAACACGGAAGACCTATTGGCATGCGAAGTGTTTACCGACGAATGAGAAGTTTTGGCTTGTTTTCATACCGGCCACACTGGGTCCTCCCTTTAACTCGAGAACACCGACGTAATCGCCTTGAGTGGTGCAGACAACGGTCACTCTGGGATCAGGAATGGAACAGTATTGTCTTTAGTGACGAGTCTCGATTTTGTTTAGGCATGCACGATGGTCGTGCCAGGGTTAGAAGGCGACGTGGTGAAAGGAGGAATCCACAGTTTTTTGTTGAAAGACATGTTCATCACACTGTTGGAGTTATGGTTTGGGGTGCTATAGCTTATGGTTCCAGGTCACCTTTAATCTTCATCAGAGGTAACATGAACGCGCAGCGTTATATCCACGAAGTTCTAGAACCCCATCATTTACCCTATCTTGACACCTTGGCAGATCCAATTTTCCAACAAGATAATGCCCGACCACATGTTGCAAGAGTCAAATAGACTTTTTTCAACATAATGATGTCACATTGTTACCATGGCCACCAAGATCTCCCGACTTATCCCCAATTGAGCACGTGTGGCATATGATGGGTAGGAGATTGCTCAATTTGCAACGTCCTCCTCAGACTCTAGAAGCACTTCGAGAGGAGTTGGTGGTTGCCTGGAATGAGATACCACAGGAGGACATTGACCACCTGATCAGAAGCATGCCTAGGCGCGTTGGAGAATGCGTAGCACATCAGGGTGCATCCACACATTATTAAAGGTCAAAGGGCGTTAAAGCAGTGCAATCTTTTTGAAATTTTTATCATTTACTTATTATGCTTCATTAAGTACTTATACAAAATTTTATTAAAATAAAACCATTTAAACTGGGTGTTCGGATTTATATGTCACTTAGTATATAAACTACATATATGGAAACACAATGGCATAATATTCAATTCAGCAAAGAGGAACATAAAACAGAAAATGGGTAAGTAGCTTATTCGGGAGTGACCAAGATTCCTCTTACTTTAATATTTCACAAAAAAAATATCAGCAAATTTACGATAGTTATTCAAATTTCTTTGCAGTCGTACCAGTGGTGATATTATTTCTGGAAAACGGAATATTGAAGTATCTAGCATTTCACTCTTATTGGTCAATATTCTGTAAAGAAAACATGAATTAGATATTTAATACCCTTCCCTGAGAGGTAAGATTTTGAATTGTTCCATTACCAAACGATAATCGTGATTATGGACAATGATACTCGCCTAACAAGCCAGAATTCGGACAGACTCAGTTTTCCTTATGTGGTATCGGTTCCAAATAATAGACGTGAAATAGAAATTACTCTGCATAAAGGCATCATATAGTGATAACAGGGTAGCAGGGTAGTATCTAGAGTATCCTCTGATAAAGCCAAGCATCTTATTCGTTTTATTTATTTCACCTATATGGTTATTGAAGCTCCATTTCGTATCTAGTGTAACACCGAGGTCCCGAATATTGCTCACAGAATAAATAACGTTGGCATTCTATGTCTGATACGCAGAGTAGAATAGGTATCTTTTTTTCGAGAATGTGACTGGAAAGCATCCTTAGTATTGAGTGTCTTGAAGGCTTTCAACTATACTATACATCTTTATGTCATCTGGCAATGGCTGAAACATAGATTAAGGAGAATAGTGGACCTAGGTGGCTACCCTGAGGAACTCCCAATGAGGGAGCAACGACTCTGGATTCATACCCGTTTACAGACGCGAAGAATTCTCTGGTACGCGAATACACATACAAATTTCGTTTCTTTTTTTTTTTATATATCGAAACAGCCGCGCAGGCAAAAGCCTAAATGCCGGAACACCGCGGCTGCTATGATGATCCCAAAGAAATTTTGTTGATACGATTTTTGAACTGCCTAAGGTTAGTAGAACTGGGAAAAGCTTCCTCCCATAGATTGTTCCACAATCTAGACACCCTCGGGACAAAGGAGCGGTCGTATCGGCCAGTTCTGGATGTACGAAGTTTGACACGGTTAGGATGGGACGCCGAAGTCAGGCGGGTCTGTCTGGCAGGCACATCGCGCGGCGGCATCATGGAAGAGAGCTCTGAGGAGCAAAGCCCGTTGGTGTAGCGATAGAAAAGAGCTAGATCGCCGACGACCCGCCGGTGCGAAAGAGTCCCGAGACTGTCTGTTAGAGAAGAGTCATCGATCAGTCGGACCGCCCTCCTCTGGACAGCATCGAGCATGGACAATGTAGTCGGGGCGGCAGCACCCCAAATGTGTGAGCAATACTCGAGGCTAGGCCTTATCTGGGCCTTGTATAGAGTGAGAATGTCATGCGGAGAAAAGTACTTCTTAGCCCTGAACAAATAGCCTAGCTTTTTCCCAGCAGCTGCAGCTATTGAAGAGATGTGTTCGTGCCAGATCAGGTCCTCGGTGATCTGGACTCCGACCAGCCGAAATGAATGGCTCTTTGGTAGAACTCGACGGTCCATCGAAACTGTATGAGCGCTAGGACGCTTTTTGTTCGTCAAAGTACAGTACTGTGTTTTGGAGGCATTGAACTGTAAAAGAAGATTGTTGCGTCCCCAAGCAGTGATAGCCTCCAGGTCTCTTGTCAGAGAAGAAGTCGTCGCTAGTCTTCTTTTTTCCAGCTCAGCGGCAGAGATCGGCTTGTCACTCTGAATTCCTGCATGTAGAGTGCTGTCATCAGCGAAGCTGTGGATTGGGTTGCTCGTGCAGGAAAGGAGGTCGTTGATATGTAAGAGAAACAGTGTTGGAGCCAAGACCGATCCCTGGGGAACACCCGCGTTGACGTTGTGGGATGAAGAGGAGAATCCGTCAATTACGACGGATATCTTGCGGCCAGAGATAAAGTCAGCCACCCATCTGCAAAGCTTTTCTGGGAGGCCATAGGATGAAAGTTTGCTTAAGAGGGCAGCGTGCCACAGCTGATCGAACGCTTTCGTGATGTCAAGAGCAACGACATGAGCCTCACCATGAGACTGGATGAATTTACTCCACAGTTGCGTGACGTAAGCTAGGAGGTCCCCTGTGGATCGTTGGTGCCGGAAACCGTACTGCCTGTCGCTAATCAAGCTGTGACGTTCGAGGTAGTCCAGAAGCTCGCGATTTATGCACCTCTCCATCACTTTACTTATGACAGAAAGCAGAGCTATAGGCCTGTAGTTGTAAGGATCGGTTTTAGATCCTTTTTTTGGGATGGGCTGTACATGAGCAAATTTCCAGTTTTCTGGGAAGGTGCCGGATTCATCAGATATCTGGAAGAGACGCGAAAGAACTGGAGCAAGCTCCGCTGCACATCTCTTCAGTACAATGGCAGGAATCAAGTCCGGACCAGAAGCTTTGTTGATGTTGAGCGACAAGAGCACTCGTCTTACGGTCTTATGCCTGAATGTTACCTCCCGCATAGTGTGGGGAACTCTTTGAATTGACGGCACTTGGGCGTTGGTGGGGACGTCCATGGTGGAGTTGGCAGCAAAGATCTTGGCTAGCACTTCCGCCTTGGCCTTCGAGTCGAATACAATAGTTCCATCCTGACACGTAAGTGGTGGAAGGCTACTGTGTGAGAAGTTCTTTTCAATCTGCTTGGCCAGCGTCCAGAAAGACCGACTGCCATTGCGCTGCGACATTACCCTGTGCCTAACTTTTATATCATGCTGGTTTTTGGCATTGCGAGCCGCTTCGTTATATTTGTTTCTGGATTCGACGTCGGCTTGTCTGTTCTCTACAGTGGGGTTTTGTAAGTAGGTTCTGTCAAGAGAATCGATTTCGATTCAAAAACCAGAAAGAACACCAACTTCTTGGATGGGAGCGAGTCAGTATCCTGTTATATTTCTCTAGAACCAATTCGCCTCAATGACATTAAGTGTTGAAGTTAATTGCATCTTGCTATTCTGGGTCCTTCCTGATGAATGATCGCCTTTTGCTAAGAAGTCGTTTGTTGAAATTTATGGAGTCTAACCAGCCCTCTAACTTCCTTACAAGTAAACCTATTCAAGCCTTCCCTTTGAAGCTGATTGGGTCTTGACAAATGAGAGGAAATAGATGAAAACGAACTACGCTATTTTGATTATTAACTGATAAAGGTTTCAAGTGGCTTTGAGCTCGTCGAGTCGTACTGCTTGTTGCATATGCGTCCCCGTAGTATTCGTATCAACAGCAATAAAAGAGTAGATTTTCGTGGTTCAGTGCCTAACTTTCATTTACTTTAGCACGCTCTGGCTCTAAAATCGCTAATAAATAACTTTATACGTAATTCTGTACGGAGTATAAATCCAAGAGCGAATTTGATTTTAACGCGGATTCTAATAGTGCCAACGTACGGTACGTTGATTTTACGATAGTACGTATAATAAAGTTCTGTTATACGAGCAGACACGAACGCTTGTCGGCTC